TTTAAAACAAAAATAATAAAACCAGTGATTAAATATTTATTATTTCAATGTACAAATTATTTTAATTAATAATGTTTTGATCAAAAATATGTTTTCACTACAAAATACAACAAACGGACAACAATTTATAATTTTCACTAATTGATAATATGTGTGAAATCGTTTTTTTTTTATTTGTTTTATTTGTTTGAAGAATTGGCATTAATAATACCAAATTATTTTTTACAGCAATTTACAATCAAATCAATAATTAAGGATTATTTTTACTAAAACAATATAAATAACAAAAATAATATTGTTCTAAAGCTATTTTCTTGTGGCATTGTAAATTAATTACTATTTAACTGGGAATAAGCCACAATTAAAGATAAACATACGTTTATTGACGTTTCAATTTCCACTTTGGAAATCGTTCTCAAAATACAAACAGTAAATAAGTCAATAAACGTATGTTTATCTTTAATTGTGGCTTATTCCCAGTTAAATAGTAATTAAAAATTAAATAGTTAAAAATATGTGATTTTTTAATAATGTATATGAGGAGCATACATACAAAAACCGATAAATATACTTGTACAGCAAAATCCCATAACAATTTTTTTTATTTAATTTAACCTTGTGACAGCTGTGGCCATTAGCACGAGGCACCGTGGGTCTATTCAGGTGTTGAATATAGGCCTCTCCCATTTGTCTCCATTTGTCTCTGTCTGTTCTGTTTGTCTTTTCCACATTGGACCTACGCTTTTCTCAATGTCATCTTTCCATTTTATTTGCTGTCGACCTCTTGACCTTGTTGAAGTATATGGTTTCCAACGACCAATTTCTTTATTTTATCTTTCATCCTGATATCTTGCTTAATGCCCAGCCATTTTCATTTTAATTTCAATGCATGTACGACAGCGTCTGTTTTATCCACTCGTTCCTCTTTTTATCCATCAACGATATTTCCAACATTTGTCTTTCCATAGCTGTTTGAGTTTTCTTTATTCTACCTAAGTTACTCTTGGTACACGTCCACGTCTGGTCACATTATGCCAGAACAGGTAGAAACGCATGCATTAAATACGTTCGTTCTTAATTTAAGATAGTTTTTGGGTTTTGATAGTATATGAGAGTTTTTCCAATACAGCCCACCCCATTCTTATTCTTCTGGTTATTTCTTTAGTCTGGTTACTTTTGTCTGCTCTGATATCTTGTCCTAAGTAAATATATTCTTGGACGTGTTCTATGTTTGTTCCACTTTTGGTAATTACTGATCTGTCTTCTGTATTAGTCATTATTTTAGTTTTATTTAGATTCATTTTTTAGTCTTTTCTCAAGAGATGTTTTTTCTAGGTCTGAATTCATTGTTCGTAGTTGTTCCATAGTTGTTACTATCAGGAGTACATCATCGGCGAATCTTAGATGATTTAAATATTTCCCGTTTATACAAATCCCTTTATTGTCTCAGTCTATAGATTTAAAAATGTCCTCCAACGCCAGAGTAAATAGTTTAAGTGAGATTGTATCCCTTTATCTGACACCTCTACAAATTCTAATTAATGGAGTTTGCAAATCTCTGTCTAGCTGAATTCTCATAGTGGCGTTTTGATATATATTGTGGATTAACATTCTGTACCATGAATCTATTCGGCAATTAACTAGCGCTTTTTCCACTGCCCATGGTTCTATACTGTCAAACGCTTTTTCATAGTCAACAAACGCTAGGTATATTGGAAGGTTGTATTCGTTGGTCTTTTCTATCAATATTTTTTAATAGTGTGAAGGTGGTCGGTTGTGCTGTATTCCTTTCTAAATCCTACCTGCACAACGGGTTGGTATGCATAAAATTTGTTGCTTAGTCTAGTTGTGATCATCTTAGTGAAAGTTTTACAGATTTGTGACAAGAGAGATATTGGTCTATAGTTACTTAAATTTGATCTATTTCCCTTCTTACCATAAGAAGAAGAAGTCTTATATGCAACTTTTTGTATTTGTTGTCATTTCTAACTTTTAATTTTCTTTGCTTTTTATTCATCTGAAATATTTTATCTGTCATCCATTTTTGCTTGTTTTCTCTTTTTAATTATAGATTTTCATGCAAAATTGTGGTAATAGATGTCTTTAATTCGTTCCACTGTTTTTCTGTGCCTCTAGTAGTATATTAAACTCTTTTTGCAAAATTCTTAATAATTTCTGTTTTTACTTTTTTCTGTGTATTATTTCCTTTTAGTAGCCTTATATCTATATTGGGCCTTATTTTCTTATCAATTATTTTAAGTTGTATGTTGATATTTGCCACCAAGAGACTTTGATTTGAGAAGACATCTGCGCCTGGATATGTTTTTACTGAGGTGATAAAAGTTCTAAACCTTTTGATTATGTTGATACGATCAATTTGGTTTCTTATGATTTTCCCTGGGGTATCACGGGTGCTTTTCATAATAAAGTCTTCTTGGATGTAATTTAAAAAGTGTATTCGTATTCGTATATTAATGTCAGAAGAAGCGTTTAGAATGACGGTGACATTGCCTTTATTGGCGGGAAAGAATAACTAGATTTGAATTTGATTGACGTTCTTTCAAGGCTTTTTTCTCGGATTGACTAATGTTTGAAGTAGGAAGGCTTTGAGACTTTGAGTTTCTAGGAACTGTAGCGAAATGTCTACTGATTTCAGAATCTTCGGAAAGTAAACCTTAGATAACTTCTTCAGATTAACAGATGATTATCTCAATTGAAATGTGAATTAGGTTAACAGAGAACTTGAAAATTTTACCCCTTTTGTACCAGAATATCAATAAACATATTTTTTCATAATTATAACTGCAGATGACAATGTTTTGAAACTAAATAAACGTAAAAATATGTTTTAATTAGTTTTTTTTATAAATATAGGAAAAAAACGCTGTGACCATATAGTCACACAGGGTGGTTACCTATTGTTCAATCACAAATTAACCCCTTAATTTGTAATCTCACATTATTCTTAACTTCTTAATCTTTTATAGTTTCACCGTGTATAAGTTTGCATTATATATATTGCAAAACCATATCGTATGATAATTTAATAATTAGTTCATTTACCTACAACTAAATAAATTGCCGAATAATAATATTTTCTACTTGAACTTCCTAAGTGTCGCAATTAAGGCGTAGATTAAATTGTATTGTAAGCAAAGTTTGGTTGTATGGTATGATAGAAAGCAATGACCTATGTGCTTAGGTATGAATTATTTGTGAGATTATAAATTGGGGATTTGAGCTCATATGAACACAGTCTATATTGAGTAGTTACCGAACGAACACCATCTTGTGTAATTACGAGTTGCTGTCAATAAATCATCACCTTTACTCTACAACTTCAACATTTATTAACCCTATCAACATCGATCGACGAGAACCGGACAAAGGGGCATACGAACCGAACCGAACTTCACTATTAAGTTCGATAATTTTTACAATGGTCCTTCGTCAAAACATCATCAAAAGGGCGTTAATTGGTTTGGAGCTTCGAAGGAGACGACCCTTAGCGACCTAAATAGCGGTTTCCCAGTTCCGTACAAGATCGACGATCGAATTCGAAGTGTAGAGAAAAGAAAAAAGAAATAAAAAAGACCAGAAAGCACCGAAATAAGGGGTAGGAGCCTTACGAGAGCCTTTGATCACCAGAGAACCTTAATAGCAGTCCTTAAGTCTACTATTCCAGCAGTTTGGAGGTCCAGTTTCCAGCAGAAAAATCTAGTAGCATCCAGAGATCCAGCAAACCCGTTCCAGTTGCAGTTCTAAGAAGGAAGCAGGAATATACAAGTGAACGTCGGGATAAAACTGTAAGTTTTTGAATATTTATTATCATTTAGAGCAGTGCATTAATTTAATACATTAAAAAGATTATTAAACAAACTTAAGATTCAAATTGAATAATACTTATTTGAAATATTTTATATTGCATACTTTTTTTACTTAAAATAATAATAGTCTGTCTACAGCTAATTCAAATCTAATAGCTTAATTATTTTAATTTTAATTATATTCGATAATTTTGATTCTTATAACTTAAAATTCTTAAAACATTTGATTTTCATAATATAGGGAAATATCGTGACAAATCGTTATTTTTATACACATTCAGAGTTCATTCATTCCAAATATATAGTATTTTGTAGTATTTGCATTTTTTATATAAAGAATTTCTTTTCTCTCTAGTTACAAGTGATAATATTACATTATTTAATTTGTACTATATAGCCGTGTCACAAAGGTTAGACAAGAGGTCATTTTGCGTTATTGTCTAAGGTAATCTTGCTGACACTAGTTTAAAAGTTGAAATTAGGTCAAACTTATATTCGTTTAAAATGGAACGATTATATTTAGATCAGGAAAAGCTAGGTCAAGAAATTACGAAGCTTTTAAATAATTTGCGAAAACTACGGAAAGAAAAACGAACGAGAGAATATTTAAACATTAAAAGACAGACACTTGATGAATTGTGGAACGACTTTGAAGATCAAAACACAGAAATTGAAGAAAAAGGTTCGAGAGTTGATAAATATTTTACATCTAACTTTTACGAACAAGTACAAAAAAGATATGAAGAAACGAAAAAGACTTTAGAGAAATTTATTAAAAATTCGTACAAGTCTTCGACAAAAATTAGAGAAATAGAAATTAGGATGGGGAAACTTCATTTATTGGAAGACGACAAAACCGATGAAGATTTACAAGAGGATTTAAAAGAAAAGGTACAAAAAATAGATACATTAATAATGGAAATAACTGTGGACAATGAACAGGATGCACTAGAAGAAGGTGAAATAGAAAGATTTTATACAATGAAAAGAAGGGTGCGGTCGATCATAAAAGAAAATAAGAGATTAGAGGCGGAAGGATGCAAAAAAGACAAGATAATATTACCCCAAGTGAAGTTACCCTGTTTTGAAGGAAGGTATGAATCCTGGGTAACATTCTATGATATTTTTAAACGTTTGATACATGAGAATAATCAACTATCAAATGTGGAAAAAATGCAGTATCTGAAGACAAACCTCCGAGGAGAAGCAAGTAGAATAATACAACATTTAAACACAACAGAAGCAAACTACAGTGCTGCCTGGAAAATGTTGCAAGATCGATACGATAATCCAAGGATGAATCTATTTATATTAATAGACAAGATACTTCAGGCTGCGGAGATAAAAGAAACGTCAGCAAAGGCGCTGAAATCATTACATGATACTATCCACGAATGCTTAGAAGCCATTAGTGGACTAGGTGTAATGACAGAGTCCTGGAGCCCTCTTATAGCAAGGATAAGTATGTTAAAGTGGGACACAGAAACCAGGAGATTATATGAAACGTCAATTCAAGACAGTAGGGACATTCCGACATATAAGTCAACACAGGAATTCCTACAAAGAAGATTCCAGACAATGGATATGTTGGAAACAGAAAGGAAAGGAACAGATCATAGACAACAGGTAAAGAAGAAGATAACCTGTGTGGTGTGTCATGAAGAACATAAACTGTTGAAATGTACAACGTTTCTACGTCAACAAGTACGTGAAAGAAACAAAATCGTAAAGGAAAAGCAATGGTGCGGTAGATGCCTACTACACAAAAGGGAAGTACCATGTTATTCCTCTCATAGATGTGCAGAATGTGGTGGACAGCACCATTCATTACTACACATGTCAGAAGGTCAGCATGATAACAGAAGGAATTCTGAAAACAGAAGGCCACAGAATAGACCAAATTCTAGTGGGTGCCAGTATGACAACAGAAGGAATTCTGAAAACAGAAGGCCACAAAATAGACCCAATTCTAGTGGGAACAGAGGTGACAACAGTTACGACGGATCGTCAAGGAGACAAGAGAATGCCGTGAGCTGTTTAAGTCATCAGAATGAAGAAGTGCTACTTGCAACGGCATTAGTACGAGTAAGAGACTCAAAAGGAAGCTCACAATTGATGAGAGCATTGATTGACCAAGGCTCGCAGTCATCATTCATTACGGAGCAGGCCGCTACAAGTCTCGGAATAAAAAGAAAAGCTGTCCACGCTCAGATATCTGGAATTGGCAATGAAGACCAAAGGACGTCGAAATGGAGCGTAACATTAAACTTAGAGGCGCATTTCAAAAATGAATTTGAAATGAAGACCGAAGCAATTGGGCTAAGAAAAATAACAATTTTTACACCTATATATACATTATGTATATACTACTGTGTATGAAAAATTTAAAAACACTCAATGCAAAGTCCAAAATTACATTTTTTACACTGTGTACGTATCACAGAAGAGCATCCTTCTCCTGCACACCTACGTCTTTTGCCGTTAGGAACTGGAACAACAAGATAGTCAGTTTTATCATATCTTAGATTGTCGGACACTCTATTCATGGACAGACTATTTCTGCTGACTAAAGGCTTAGTAGGACGTCTAGGCGGTACTCCATATTTCCGCAAAAACATTTGTGCAATTTCTTGGCGGAAAACTATATTAGGTGTTTTTTTATTTCCTTTGAGGACTTAACTTGGAAGAGGCCAATACCACTTTTTACTTCTGATGCCAATTCTGTATCGTACCACATCTTCATCCATTCTATCCATGCCACCCATGAAAATATTATATTTTGCAATAATTAAAGGCCTTTGTACTCGAATTATTTTCTTTTGTTGCTTAGAGTATCTCTTGACGTAACTTTGAGGATTGATGCCGTAGCAAGTTGATGCAGCCGTAATTACAACAATATCCATCCATTTTACCAAGATAATTCCGTCATTTTAAGATATAACATAATCAACAAAACCTCTAGTTTGAGTAGCCATTACTTTGTTGTTTGGCAAAGGAAAACACTTAGAAACTCTATTTTGTCTTATTGTTTCAGTACAGTCATATCTCCTTAGTTTTAATACTGCAAGTAAATTGAAACTGGTAAACAGTATAAATATGGTAATTTGGCATTTTATTCGGTAGATCGTTAAACATTTGAAGTAAAGGAGCTGTTGCACTTCCAAGTTTTTCTACATAACTGTTATCAGTTGAAATATGTTTACCTTCATATAACTGAAAAATGAATCAGATAACTGTCTTCAGAATTCAAACACCAAGCTTTATAGCCAAAGCGTATTGGCTTACCTTTGATAAAATGTTTACAACTATGTTTCCAAAATACTTGATCATTGATTAATCATAATTCACGTGCTGGGTTGGTTGAAAGTACTTATGACATTTCATTTGCACCTTTTCTATAATGGGGCGTAGCTTCCACATTTTATCAGTCCTTTAAATTCTGCTATTATCGGCAAAATGTATACATTTTATGATTTGATTAAATCTATCCGTGCGCATAGAATTTTTCACCATGTGTACTGATCCCAAAAAAACAGAAAACCTATTAATTATCACATATTATCCCTGTATGACGTTATGGTCCCAAATAAATATTAGAAGCTCTACTGCATTTGATACAATACTTTCCTAGATCCTATTTGTTTAAAAATATTTTTGGTTTCTTTAAAAATAGGATTCAAAAATATTACTTACTCAAAGCGAACATCCATTTTAATGCTTTATCGTTGTAACACCTACAAACAATAACTATAACACGTCTTTGCCAGCGAATAGATCAGGTACCGGGTATGTCATTAGTTACGTAGATGTCTCTAGTTCGCGTGGTCGTATTACTAGTTGCATACATCGCAGTATGTGTTAAATGTTGTATATTTAACAAGGGTCAGTTAGTGTGACCATACGGTTACGCTAGCAGAAAACGGGTTAAGATAGTTTGCAGAAATTTTAACGTTGATAGATAAAATAATAAACCAAATGAACTGGTGCTGCTTCTTCAGATTTTTTCCTGACTTTTTCCCAGCTCGTAATAATGTTCTTTTTTTGATTATATAATATGATTTTTAAAGAATTCAGCTTCAAATAATGTGTTTATAATATGTTATATCCCATTTTTTGAATATATCTTTATTTGCATCTCATAAAACAATATCTTGTTCCATTGCTACTTATTCAGAAAAATTAGCATTGTTATTGGAAAATCAAAGCAAGATTTTTATGAAACGGTATACCTTGTTGTGTATATTTGTCTATACTTTTCAGAAATAATTGACGTCTAGGTAATTGAGTAATCATCATATCGACATTAAAATAAAAAACAAGTTGCATCAACAGGAAAAAAATTACAGCATGTTATGTGTTGACCGCGGGGAAACGAACCTTTAGAAAACAAAGCAGAATGTTGGATTTTTGTATCTATTAACAGGAGTTTCATGAAAATAAACAAAAAGAAACACGAACCGTAGGACAAATGTACGTTATAAAGCTGGCCTGAATTTGTTGCAGCTACAAAGCGTAATGAATATTTTTGAAGTATGAGGGAAATAAACAATGGTGTTTGCTTTGGTTTGGTGTTGAATTTCTGCGTTCTTATGTAATAGTTGAAAATGTTTATTATTCATATTTATTTTGATAGTACTGATGACTTAACACTATAATAAAAGATTGGTATAGATAGAATCCATAAATAAATATAATTCAAATGTACTTTTGTTAAACTTTTGTTCGGCGATGTGAAATAATTTGAAAGTCGTGGAGTCAATATTTTAATCGTCAATAAGTTCAAGTGACGAAACTCGAAGTAACGACTTTTGCATGATGTGAATACTCCAATTAGACTTCTTGCTGAAAAACGTTTAAACTTTTAGTAGACGCAGTTAAATTTTGTGTATCATTAGTCGAATATAGGAAAGTTAAACAACTCGCTTTGAGAGAGAGAGAGAAAGAGAGAGAGAGAGAGAGAGAGAGAGGGAGGGAGAGAGAGAGAGAGGCTTTCTTCTCAAAACAAGTCTTATTCCAGAGATGCAGATCATCTATTGCTTGTAGATGATCTATTTCTTGTAGGTAGTTTTTGTAGATTTTTAAGCTTATTTATTCTAATTGCGTATTTTGTTTATTTACGTATTACAAAAAATATTCCTTTATTTTTCTAATAATCCTCTATTTTTCTAAAAGTTTAATTGATTCTCTTATTTACTAACCAAATGGCAATTAATTTAAAATTAGAATATAATACATCAGTCTTCTAGAACAATTTTAAACAAAAAATGAAGCAATATTTTACAAAGACTTATCATAAAAAAATATAATAGATGGCACAAAACAATAAAATTAAGCCGGAATATTGTTACAGTCATTGCAAATTGAATTTACATATTCCTAACAAAAATAATTATACAAATTGAACAAAAATATTTCTTTTTATCCACAGTCACCACACCACAGAGTTCCTTGAACTGGCACGACATCTTCATTCAGATCTCCTTAAGTCAAATCCTTATTGTCTTGGGTATAAAGGCATTTTGGCTTTGATTCTTCTGGTAATTGTACATAAGGCTAATGCTAAATGCTAAATTTGTCAAAGCTTCTTGTCCGGTCTTCGTGGAATTTAAAATGTTACAATTGTAAATAACAAAGAAATGTATCGATGTAACATTTAAAAGGCTGCACATCATATTGTACGCATAACTTATCTACGGTATCAACACCGTTTTTTGTGCTCTTATATGCTAATATGATTTCCGGTTTTCCATTTACAGGATCAACGTCGTTCCCATGGTGCATAGTGGAATATAACAGAGAACTAGTTTTCCTCTTGAACCAAATGTAGTAGATTCAATAGGTCATCCTTGATTTTTAGAGAAATATGCAGGAATTTGTCTTATATTTACTTTTATTGTTACCAAGAGAGTTTCATTTTCCTATACACTTATAACAAGATCAACGCTGGTGTACCAATTGTCGGTGGTAACATTTCTTTTAGATGCGTAGAGATGTTGAAAGGTCCGTTTCGCCACTACCTTGGTACTAATGTCTACATAGTATGGATCACCCACCTGGGTGTTGCCAACGTAGACTTTCATGTAACTGGTATAAAATAACTTTAAATTAGACAGTGTAAATATTTTTATACCGTTATCTATTGGATTTGCTTGGTATGTGCTGGCGGAATGAGCATCGCACTCTAAAAGTCTAACTTTTTGTTCACGGTTCCGTATTGCGAATAAGAAAAACATTTAATAGAAAACACAAAAAAAAATCATTACCTTACTTATGTAGTCTTTTAATTAAATTATTTCTTTGGCGTTCTATGAGAAAAGAGTGTCACAAAAATATTTCA